AGGCACTGGGAGTTACTGGGAGGCACTGGGAAGGGACTGGGAGGGACTGGGAGGGACTGGGCATTACTGGGAGGAAGTAGATGGAAATGGGAGGAAGTGGATGGGGAAATGGGAGGAAGTGGATGGGAAATGGGAGGAAGTGGATGGGAAATGGGAGGAAGTCGATGGGAAATGGTGAGGAATGGAGGGGAGCGGAGGGGGAAATGGTGGGGAAACGGTGGGACTGGGAGGAACTGGGAGGGACTGGGAGGGACTGGAAGGAAGTAGATGGGAAATGGGAGGAAGTGGATGGGAAATGGGAGGAATGGAGGGGAGCAGAGGGGAAATGGTGGGACTGGGCGCTACTGGGAGGCACTGGGCGCTACTGGGAGGCACTGAGAGGAACTGGGAGGAAGTAGATGGGAAATGGGGGGAAAGTCGATGGGAAATGGGGGGAAGTGGATGGGAAATGGGAGGAATGGAGGGGAATGGAGGGGAAATGGTGAGGAATGGTGGGACTGGGTGGAACTGGGAGTTACTGGGAGGGACTGGGAAGGACTGGGAGGGACTGGGTGGGACTGGGAGGAAGTAGATGGGAAATGGGAGGAAGTGGATGGGAAATGGTGAGGAATGGAGGGGAGCGGAGGGGAAATGGTGGGGAAACGGTGGGACTGGGAGGAACTGGAGGGACTGGGAGGAACTGGGAGGGACTGGGCATTACTGGGAGGAAGTAGATGGGAAATGGGGGGGAAGTAGATGGGAAATGGGAGGAAGTTGATGGGAAATGGGAGGAAGTAGATGGGAAATGGTGAGGAATGAAGGGGAGTGGAGGGGAAATGGTGGGGAATGGTGGGACTGGGAGGAACTGGGAGGGACTGGGAGGGACTGGGAGGAAGTAGATGGGAAATGGGGGGAAGTGGATGGGAAATGGGGGGGACTGGAGGGGACTGGAGGTGAAATAATGGGGAAATGGTGGCACTGGGCAGTACTGGGAGGGACTGGGAAGGACTGGGAGGGACTGGGAGGAACTGGGCATTACTGGGAGGAAGTAGATGGGAAATGGGGGGGAAGTAGATGGGAAATGGGAGGAAGTGGATGGGAAATGGTGAGGAATGGAGGGGAGCGGAGGGGAAATGGTGGGAGTGGGCGCTACTGGGAGGGACTGGGAAGGACTGGGAGGGACTGGGAGGGACTGGGAGGAACTGGGAGGGACTGGGAGGGACTGGGCATTACTGGGAGGAAGTAGATGGGAAATGGGGGGAAGTAGATGGGAAATGGGGGGAAGTAGATGGGAAAATGGAGGAATGGAGGGGAGCGGAGGGGAAATGGTGGGACTGGGCGCTACTGGGAGGGACTGGGCGCTACTGGGAGGCACTGGGAGGAACTGGGAGGAAGTAGATGGGAAATGGGGGAAAGTCGATGGGAAATGGGAGGAAGTGGATGGGAAATGGGAGGAATGGAGGGGAATGGAGGGGAAATGGTGAGGAATGGTGGGACTGGGTGGAACTGGGAGTTACTGGGAGGGACTGGGAAGGACTGGGAGGGACTGGGTGGTACTGGGAGGGAAGTAGATGGGAAATGGGGGGAAGTCGATGGGAAATGGGGAGGAAGTGGATGGGAAATGGTGAAGAATGGAGGGGAGTGGAGGGGAAATGGTGAGGAATGGTGGGACTGGGAGGAAGTGGAGGGACTGGGCATTACTGGGAGGAAGTAGATGGGAAATGGGGGGGAAGTAGATGGGAAATGGGAGGAAGTTGATGGGAAATGGGAGGAAGTAGATGGGAAATGGGGGGAAGTCGATGGGAAATGGGAGGAAGTCGATGGGAAATGGGGAGAATGGAGGGGAGTGGAGGGGAAATGGTGGGACTGGGCGCTACTGGGAGGCACTGGGAGTTACTGGGAGGCACTGGGAAGGACTGGGAGGGGACTGGGAGGGACTGGGCATTACTGGGAGGAAGTAGATGGGAAATGGGAGGAAGTGGATGGGAAATGGGAGGAAGTGGATGGGAAATGGGAGGAAGTGGATGGGAAATGGGAGGAAGTCGATGGGAAATGGTGAGGAATGGAGGGGAGCGGAGGGGAAATGGTGGGGAAACGGTGGGACTGGGAGGAACTGGAGGGGACTGGGAGGGACTGGAAGGAAGTAGATGGGAAATGGGAGGAAGTGGATGGGAAATGGGAGGAATGGAGGGGAGCGGAGGGGAAATGGTGGGACTGGGCGCTACTGGGAGGCACTGGGCGCTACTGGGAGGCACTGGGAGGAACTGGGAGGAAGTAGATGGGAAATGGGGGAAAGTCGATGGGAAATGGGGGGAAGTGGATGGGAAATGGGAGGAATGGAGGGAATGGAGGGGAAATGGTGAGGAATGGTGGGACTGGGTGGAACTGGGAGTTACTGGGAGGGACTGGGAAGGACTGGGAGGGACTGGGTGGTACTGGGAGGAAGTAGATGGGAAATGGGAGGAAGTGGATGGGAAATGGGAGGAAGTAGATGGAAATGGTGAGGAATGAAGGGGAGTGGAGGGGAAATGGTGGGGAATGGTGGGACTGGGAGGAACTGGGAGGGACTGGGAGGGACTGGGAGGAAGTAGATGGGAAATGGGGGGAAGTGGATGGGAAATGGGGGGGACTGGAGGGGACTGGAGGTGAAATAATGGGGAAATGGTGGCACTGGGCAGTACTGGGAGGGACTGGGAAGGACTGGGAGGGACTGGGAGGAACTGGGCATTACTGGGAGGAAGTAGATGGGAAATGGGGGGGAAGTAGATGGGAAATGGGAGGAAGTGGATGGGAAATGGTGAGGAATGGAGGGGAGCGGAGGGGAAATGGTGGGAGTGGGCGCTACTGGGAGGGGACTGGGAAGGACTGGGAGGGACTGGGAGGGACTGGGAGGCACTGGGAGGAACTGGGAGGAAGTAGATGGGAAATGGGGGAAAGTCGATGGGAAATGGGAGGAAGTGGATGGGAAAATGGGAGGAATGGAGGGGAATGGAGGGGAAATGGTGAGGAATGGTGGGACTGGGTGGAACTGGGAGTTACTGGGAGGGACTGGGAAGGACTGGGAGGGACTGGGTGGTACTGGGAGGAAGTAGATGGGAAATGGGAGGAAGTGGATGGGAAATGGTGAGGAATGGAGGGGAGCGGAGGGGAAATGGTGGGGAAACGGTGGGACTGGGAGGCACTGGGAGGGACTGGGAGGAACTGGGAGGGACTGGGCATTACTGGGAGGAAGTAGATGGGAAATGGGGGGGAAGTAGATGGGAAATGGGAGGAAGTTGATGGGAAATGGGAGGAAGTAGATGGGAAATGGTGAGGAATGGAGGGGAGTGGAGGGGAAATGGTGGGGAATGGTGGGACTGGGAGGAACTGGGAGGGACTGGGAGGGACTGGGAGGAAGTAGATGGGAAATGGGGGGAAGTGGATGGGAAATGGGGGGGACTGGAGGGGACTGGAGGTGAAATAATGGGGAAATGGTGGGCACTGGCAGTACTGGGAGGGACTGGGAAGGACTGGGAGGGACTGGGAGGAACTGGGCATTACTGGGAGGAAGTAGATGGGAAATGGGGGGGAAGTAGATGGGAAATGGGAGGAAGTGGATGGGAAATGGGAGGAATGGAGGGGAGCGGAGGGGAAATGGTGGGGACTGGGCGCTACTGGGAGGCACTGGGAGGAACTGGGAGGAAGTAGATGGGAAATGGGGGAAAGTCGATGGGAAATGGGAGGAAGTGGATGGGAAATGGGAGGAATGGAGGGGAATGGAGGGGAAATGGTGAGGAATGGTGGACTGGGTGGAACTGGGAGTTACTGGGAGGGACTGGGAAGGGACTGGGAGGGACTGGGTGGTACTGGGAGGAAGTAGATGGGAAATGGGAGGAAGTGGATGGGAAATGGTGAGGAATGGAGGGGAGCGGAGGGGAAATGGTGGGACTGGGTGCTACTGGGAGGCACTGGGTGCTACTGGGAGGCACTGGGAGGAACTGGGAGGAACTGGGAGGGACTGGGAGGGACTGGGAGGAAGTAGATGGGAAATGGGGGGAAGTCGATGGGAAATGGGAGGAAGTGGATGGGAAATGTTGAAGAATGGAGGGGAGTGGAGGGGAAATGGTGAGGAATGGTGGGACTGGGAGGAAGTGGGAGGGACTGGGCATTACTGGGAGGAAGTAGATGGGAAATGGGGGGGAAGTAGATGGGAAATGGGAGGAAGTTGATGGGAAATGGGAGGAAGTAGATGGGAAATGGGGGGAAGTCGATGGGAAATGGGAGGAAGTCGATGGGAAATGGTGAGGAATGGAGGGGAGTGGAGGGGAAATGGTGGGGACTGGGCGCTACTGGGAGGCACTGGGAGTTACTGGGAGGCACTGGGAAGGACTGGGAGGGACTGGGAGGGACTGGGCATTACTGGGAGGAAGTAGATGGGAAATGGGAGGAAGTCGATGGGAAATGGTGAGGAATGGAGGGGAGCGGAGGGGAAATGGTGTGGGAAACGGTGGGACTGGGAGGAACTGGGAGGGACTGGGAGGGACTGGAAGGAAGTAGATGGGAAATGTGAGGAAGTGGATGGGAAATGGGAGGAAGTCGATGGAAATGGGAGGAATGGAGGGGAGCGGAGGGGAAATGGTGGGGACTGGGCGCTACTGGGAGGCACTGGGCGCTACTGGGAGGCACTGGGAGGAACTGGGAGGAAGTAGATGGGAAATGGGGGAAAGTCGATGGGAAATGGGAGGAATGGAGGGGAATGGAGGGGAAATGGTGAGGAATGGTGGGACTGGGGTGGAACTGGGAGTTACTGGGAGGGACTGGGAAGGACTGGGAGGGACTGGGTGGGACTGGGAGGAAGTAGATGGGAAATGGGAGGAAGTGGATGGGAAATGGTGAGGAATGGAGGGGAGCGGAGGGGAAATGGTGGGACTGGGCGCTACTGGGAGGCACTGGGTGCTACTGGGAAGCACTGGGCGCTACTGGGAGGCACTGGGTGGAACCGCTGGGCTCTGCTGGGCGCCGCTGGGGGGGGGGGGGCTCACCAGACCACCTCCCCGACGTTGGAGGAGATGAGGTAGCGGATGAACTGCTTCATGTTGTTGTAGATGGCGCGGCCCTCCTCCACCGCCGCCACGATGGTGGAGAAGTTGTCGTCAGCCAGCACCATTTCGGAGGCCGTTTTGGCCACGGCGGTGCCGGATCCCATGGCGATGCCGATCTCGGCCTTCTTCAGAGCCGGGGCGTCGTTCACACCGTCGCCTGTCTGGGGGGTGAGAGGGGATGGGGTCAGCGGGGGCAGTGGGGTCGTAGGGGGAGACAGTGGGTGATGGTGGGAGCCAATGGGGTCAGTGGGAATCAATGTGGGTCAGTGGGGTCATAGGGGGAGACAGTGGGTGATGGTGGGAGCCAATGGGGTCAGTGGGGTCATAGGGGGAGACAGTGGGTGATGGTGGGAGCCAATGGGGTCAGTGGGAATCAATGGGGTCAGTGGGGTCATAGGGGGAGACAGTGGGTGATGGTGGGAGCCAATGGGGTCAGTGGGAATCAATGGGGTCAGTGGGGTCATAGGGGGAGACAGTGGGTGATGGTGGGAGCCAATGGGGTCAGTGGGGTCATAGGGGGAGACAGTGGGTGATGGTGGGAGCCAATGGGGTCAGTGGGAATCAATGGGGTCAGTGGGGTCATAGGGGGAGACAGTGGGTGATGGTGGGAGCCAATGGGTCAGTGGGGTCATAGGGGGAGACAGTGGGTGATGGTGGGAGCCAATGGGGTCAGTGGGGTCATAGGGGGAGACAGTGGGTGATGGTGGGAGCCAATGGGGTCAGTGGGAATCAATGGGGTCAGTGGGGTCATAGGGGGAGACAGTGGGTGATGGTGGAGCCAATGGGGTCAGTGGGAATCAATGGGGTCAGTGGGGGTCATAGGGGGAGACAGTGGGTGATGGTGGGAGCCAATGGGGTCAGTGGGAATCAATGGGGTCAGTGGGGTCATAGGGGGAGACAGTGGGTGATGGTGGGAGCCAATGGGGTCAGTGGGAATCAATGGGGTCAGTGGGGTCATAGGGGGAGACAGTGGGTGATGGTGGGAGCCAATGGGGGTCAGTGGGAATCAATGGGGTCAGTGGGGTCATAGGGGGAGACAGTGGGTGATGGTGGGAGCCAATGGGGTCAGTGGGAATCAATGGGGTCAGTGGGGTCATAGGGGGAGACAGTGGGTGATGGTGGGAGCCAATGGGGTCAGTGGGAATCAATGGGGTCAGTGGGGTCATAGGGGGAGACAGTGGGTGATGGTGGGAGCCAATGGGGTCAGTGGGAATCAATGGGGTCAGTGGGGTCATAGGGGGAGACAGTGGGTGATGGTGGGAGCCAATGGGGTCAGTGGGAATCAATGGGGTCAGTGGGGTCATAGGGGGAGACAGTGGGTGATGGTGGGAGCCAATGGGGTCAGTGGGAATCAATGGGGTGATGGTGGGAGCCAATGGGGTCTGTGGGAATCAATGGGGTCAGTGGGGTGATGGTGGGAGCCAATGGGGGCAGTGGGACTCAGTGGGGTCAGTGGGGTCATAGGGGGAGACAGTGGGTGATGGTGGGACTCAATGGGGTGATGGTGGGAGCCAATGGGGTCAGTGGGACTCAGTGGGGTCAGTGGGGTCATAGGGGGAGCCAGTGGGGTCAGTGGGACTCAATGGGGTGATGGTGGGAGCCAATGGGGTCAGTGGGACTCAATGGGGTGATGGTGGGAGTCAATGGGGTCAGTGGGACTCAATGGGGTCATGGTGGGAGTCAATGGGGTGAGTGGGACTGAATGAGGTCAGTGGGGTGATGGTGGGAGCCAATGGGGTCAGTGGGACTGAATGGGGTGATGGTGGGAGTCAATGGGGTCAGTGGGAATCAATGGGGTGATGGTGGGAGCCAATGGGGTCAGTGGGACTCAATGGGGTGATGGTGGGAGCCAATGGGGTGAGTGGGAATCAATGGGGTGATGGTGGGAGCCAATGGGGTGAGTGGGACTGAATGGGGTGATGGTGGGAGCCAATGGGGTCAGTGGGACTCAATGGGGTGATGGTGGGAGCCAATGGGGTCAGTGGGACTCAATGGGGTGATGGTGGGAGCCAATGGGGTCAGTGGGAATCAATGGGGTGATGGTGGGAGCCAATGGGGTCAGTGGGAATCAATGGGGTGATGGTGGGAGTCAATGGGGTCAGTGGGACTCAATGGGGTGATGGTGGGAGTCAATGGGGTCAGTGGGACTCAATGGGGTGATGGTGGGAGCCAATGGGGTCAGTGGGACTCAATGGGGTGATGGTGGGAGTCAATGGGGTCAGTGGGACTCAATGGGGTGATGGTGGGAGCCAATGGGGTCAGTGGGAATCAATGGGGTGATGGTGGGAGCCAATGGGGTCAGTGGGAATCAATGGGGTGATGGTGGGAGCCAATGGGGTCAGTGGGACTGAATGGGGTGATGGTGGGAGCCAATGGGGTCAGTGAGACTCAATGGGGTCAATGGGGTGATGGTGGGAGACAATGGGGTCAGTGGGACTCAATGGGGTGATGGTGGGAGCCAATGGGGTCAGTGAGACTCAATGGGGTCAATGGGGTGATGGTGGGAGCCAATGGGGTCAGTGGGACTGAATGAGGTCAGTGGGGTGATGGTGGGAGTCAATGGGGTCAGTGGGAATCAATGGGGTGATGGTGGGAGTCAATGGGGTCAGTGGGAATCAATGGGGTGATGGTGGGAGTCAATGGGGTGAGTGGGACTGAATGAGGTCAGTGGGGTGATGGTGGGAGCCAATGGGGGCAGTGGGACTCAGTGGGGTGATGGTGGGAGCCAATGGGGTGAGTGGGAATCAATGGGGTGATGGTGGGAGCCAATGGGGTGAGTGGGACTGAATGGGGTGATGGTGGGAGCCAATGGGGTGAGTGGGACTGAATGGGGTGATGGTGGGAGCCAATGGGGTCAGTGGGACTCAATGGGGTGATGGTGGGAGTCAATGGGGTCAGTGGGACTCAATGGGGTCATGGTGGGAGTCAATGGGGTCAGTGGGAATCAATGGGGTGATGGTGGGAGCCAATGGGGTCAGTGGGAATCAATGGGGTGATGGTGGGAGCCAATGGGGTGAGTGGGACTGAATGAGGTCAGTGGGGTGATGGTGGGAGCCAATGGGGTCAGTGGGACTCAATGGGGTGATGGTTGGAGTCAATGGGGTCTGTGGGACCCAATGGGGTCAATGGGACTCAATGGGGTCAATGGGGTCATGGTGGGACCCAATGGGGTCATTGGGGTCACAGTGGGACCCAATGGGGTCAATGGAACTCAATGGGGTCAATGGGACTCAATGGGGTCAATGGGGTCACGGTGGGACCCGATGGGGTCAATGGGACCCAAAGGGGTCAATGGGACCCAATGGGGTCAATGGGGTCACGGTGGGACCCGATGGGGTCAATGGGACCCAAAGGGGTCAATAGTGTCATGGTGGGACTCAATGGGGTCAGTGGGACTCAACGAGGTCAAGGAGACCCAATGGGGTCAATGGGGTCACGGTGGGACCCAATGGGGTCAGTGGGACTCTATGGGGTCAATGGGGTCATGGTGGGACCCAATGGGGTCATTGGGGTCACAGTGGGACCCAATGGGGTCAATGGAACTCAATGGGGTCAATGGGACTCAATGGGGTCAATGGGACCCAATGGGGTCAATGGGACTCAACGGGGTCAATGGGACCCAATGGGGTCAATGGGGTCACGGTGGGACCCGATGGGGTCAATGGGACCCAAAGGGGTCAATAGTGTCATGGTGGGACTCAATGGGGTCAGTGGGACTCAACGAGGTCAAGGAGACCCAATGGGGTCAATGGGGTCACGGTGGGACCCAATGGGGTCAGTGGGACTCTATGGGGTCAATGGGACTCAATGGGGTCAATGGGACTCAATGGAGTCAATGGGGTCATGGTGGGAACCAATGGGGTCAATGGAGTCACGGTGGGACCCAATGGGGACAGTGGGACCCAATGGGGTCAATGGGACTCAATGGGGTCAATGGGGTCATGGTGGGACCCAATGGGGTCATTGGGGTCACAGTGGGACCCAATGGGGTCAATGGGACCCAATGGGGTCAATGGGACTCAATGGGGTCAATGGGGTCATGGTGGGACCCAATGGGGTCATTGGGGTCACAGTGGGACCCAATGGGGTCAATGGAACTCAATGGGGTCAATGGGACTCAATGGGGTCAATGGGACCCAATGGGGTCAATGGGACTCAACGAGGTCAAGGAGACCCAATGGGGTCAGTGGGACTCAGTGGGGTCAATGGGTGATGGTGGGACCCGATGGGGTCAATGGAACCCAATGGGGTCAATGGGGTCACGGTGGGACCCAATGGGGTCAGTGGGACTCTATGGGGTCAATGGGACTCAATGGGGTCAATGGGACTCAATGGAGTCAATGGGGTCATGGTGGGAACCAATGGGGTCAATGGAGTCACGGTGGGGCCCAATGGGGACAGTGGGACCCAATGGGGTCAATGGGACTCAATGGGGTCAATGGGGTCATGGTGGGACCCAATGGGGTCATTGGGGTCACAGTGGGACCCAATGGGGTCAATGGAACTCAATGGGGTCAATGGGACTCAATGGGGTCAATGGGACCCAATGGGGTCAATGGGACTCAACGGGGTCAATGGGACCCAATGGGGTCAATGGGGTCACGGTGGGACCCGATGGGGTCAATGGGACCCAAAGGGGTCAATAGTGTCATGGTGGGACTCAATGGGGTCAGTGGGACTCAACGAGGTCAAGGAGACCCAATGGGGTCAATGGGGTCACGGTGGGACCCAATGGGGTCAGTGGGACTCTATGGGGTCAATGGGACTCAATGGGGTCAATGGGACTCAATGGAGTCAATGGGGTCATGGTGGGAACCAATGGGGTCAATGGAGTCACGGTGGGACCCAATGGGGACAGTGGGACCCAATGGGGTCAATGGGACTCAATGGGGTCAATGGGGTCATGGTGGGACCCAATGGGGTCATTGGGGTCACAGTGGGACCCAATGGGGTCAATGGAACTCAATGGGGTCAATGGGACTCAATGGGGTCAATGGAACCCAATGGGGTCAATGGGGTCACGGTGGGACCCAATGGGGTCAATGGGACTCTATGGGGTCAATGGGACTCAATGGGGTCAATGGGGTCAGTGGGGTCAATGGGGGGGTGAAAAGGGGGGTGTCCCCCCCTACCCACCATGGCCGTGATCTCGTCGAAGGACTGCAGGAACTCGACGATCTTGGATTTGTGGGTGGGTTCGACGCGGGCGAAGCAGCAGGCCCGGCGACAGGCCTCCCTCTGCTCGGCCGGGGGGAGGTCGTCAAACTCCCTCCCCGTGTAGGCCTTCCCCGTCACCTCCTCGTCCTCCGAGAAGATGCCGATGCGGCGGCAGATGGCGATGGCCGTCCCTTTGTTGTCCCCGGTGATCATGATGACTCGAATGCCGGCGTCGCGACACAATTGGATGGAACCCATCACCTCCTTCCGGGGCGGATCCAACATCCCCACGCAGCCCACGAAGGTCAGGTCGGTCTGTTTGGGGTTAAAATGGGGGGAGGTTGTGGGGTTGGGGGGTTGGGGGAAGGTTGGAGGGTGACGGGGGGTGGGGGGTCAAGGGGGGGTTGTGTGCGGTTGGCGGGATGCAACTTCACTGAGGTGATATTGTGCCCTGCTGGGTGGCCTACAACCTCATAGAGATGGCATTTCCCGCTGTTGGGTGACCTAGAACCTCACCAAGATGGCATTTCCTGCTGTTGGGTGACCTAGAACCTCATGGAGATACAATTTCCTGCTGTTGGGTGACATAGAACCTCACAGAGGAGACGTTTCCCCCTGTTGGGTAACCTAGAATCTCACAGACATGATATTACACACTATTGAGTTACCTAGAACCTCATGGAGATGGCATTTCCCACTGTTGGGTGACCCAGAACCTCATAGAGGAGACGTTTCCCACTGTTGAGTTACCTAGAACCTCACAGAGATGGCATTTCCTGCTGTTGGGTGACCTAGAACCTCACGGAGATACAACTTCCTGCTGTTGGGTGACCCAGAACCTCACAGGGATGGCATTTCGTGCTGTTGGGTGACCTAGAACCTCACCAAGATGGCATTTCCCACCTACTACACGACTCAGAACCTCACAGGGATGGCATTTCCCACTGTTGGGTGACCTAGAACCTCACAGAGAAGACATTTCCTGCTGTTGGGTGACCTAGAACCTCACAGGGATGGCATTTCGTGCTGTTGGGTGACCTAGAACCTCACAGAGAAGACATTTCCTGCTGTTGGGTGACCCAGAACCTCACAGAGATGGCATTTCCCACTGTTGAGTTACCTAGAACCTCACAGGGATGGCATTTCGTGCTGTTGGGTGACCCAGAACCACATAGAGATACAACTTCCTGCTGTTGAGTGACCTAGAACCTCACAGGGATGGCATTTCCCACCTACTACACGACCCAGAACCTCACAGAGATGGCATTTCCCACTGTTGGGTGACCCAGAACCTCATGGAGATACAACTTCCTGCTGTTGAGTGACCTAGAACCTCATAGAGATGGCATTTCCCACTGTTGGGTGACCCAGAACCTCACAGGGATGGCATTTCCCACTGTTGGGTGACCTAGAACCTCACCAAGATGGCATTTCGTGCTGTTGGGTGACCTAGAACCTCATGGAGATACAATTTCCTGCTGTTGGGTGACATAGAACCTCACAGAGGAGACGTTTCCCCCTGTTGGGCAACCTAGAATCTCACAGACATGATATTACACACTATTGAGTTACCTAGAACCTCATGGAGATGGCATTTCCCACTGTTGGGTGACCCAGAACCTCATAGAGGAGACGTTTCCCACTGTTGAGTTACCTAGAACCTCACAGAGATGGCATTTCCTGCTGTTGGGTGACCTAGAACCTCACGGAGATACAACTTCCTGCTGTTGGGTGACCCAGAACCTCACAGGGATGGCATTTCGTGCTGTTGGGTGACCTAGAACCTCACCAAGATGGCATTTCCCACCTACTACACGACCCAGAACCCCACAGAGATGGCATTTCCCACTGTTGAGTTACCTAGAACCTCACAGAGATGGAATCATCTGCTGTTGGGTGACCTAGAACCTCATAGAGATGGCATCACCCGCTGTTGGGTGACCTAGAACCCCACAGGGATGGCATTTCCCACTGTTGGGTGACCCAGAACCTCACCAAGATGGCATTTCCCACCTACTACACGACCCAGAACCTCACAGAGATGGCATTTCCCACTGTTGGGTGACCTAGAACCTCATAGAGATGGCATTTCCTGCTGTTGAGTTACCTAGAACCTCATGGAGATGGCATTTCGTGCTGTTGGGTGACCCAGAACCTCACAGGGATGGCATTTCCCACTGTTGAGTTACCTAGAACCTCACAGAGATGGCATTTCCTGCTGTTGGGTGACCTAGAACCTCACGGAGATACAACTTCCTGCTGTTGGGTGACCCAGAACCTCATAGAGATGGCATTTCCCGCTGTTGAGTTACCTAGAACCTCACAGGGATGGCATTTCGTGCTGTTGGGTGACCTAGAACCTCACCAAGATGGCATTTCCCACCTACTACACGACCCAGAACCCCACAGAGATGGCATTTCCCACTGTTGAGTTACCTAGAACCTCACAGAGATGGAATCATCTGCTGTTGGGTGACCTAGAACCTCATAGAGATGGCATCACCCGCTGTTGGGTGACCTAGAACCCCACAGGGATGGCATTTCCCACTGTTGGGTGACCCAGAACCTCACCAAGATGGCATTTCCCACCTACTACACGACCCAGAACCTCACAGAGATGGCATTTCCTGCTGTTGGGTGACCCAGAACCTCATGGAGATACAACTTCCTGCTGTTGAGTGACCCAGAACCCCACAGAGAAGACATTTCCTGCTGTTGGGTGACCTAGAACCTCACAGGGATGGCATTTCGTGCTGTTGGGTGACCTAGAACCTCATGGAGATTGAATCACCCGCTGTTGGGTGACCTAGAACCTCACGGAGTTACAACTTCCTGCTGTTGGGTGACCTAGAACCTCACAGAGAAGACATTTCCTGCTGTTGGGTGACCCAGAACCTCACAGAGATGGAATCATCTGCTGTTGGGTGACCTAGAACCTCACCAAGATGGCATTTCCCACCTACTACACGACTCAGAACCTCACAGGGATGGCATTTCCCACTGTTGGGTGACCCAGAACCTCATAGAGATGGAATCACCCGCTGTTGGGTGACCTAGAACCTCACAGAGGAGACGTTTCCCACTGTTGAGTTACCTAGAACCTCACAGGGATGGAATCATCTGCTGTTGGGTGACCTAGAACCTCACCAAGATGGCATTTCCCACCTACTACACGACCCAGAACCCCACAGGGATGGCATTTCCCACTGTTGGGTGACCCAGAACCTCACAGAGGAGACATTTCCTGCTGTTGGGTGACCCAGAACCTCACAGAGATGGCATTTCCCACTGTTGAGTTACCTAGAACCTCACAGGGATGGCATTTCGTGCTGTTGGGTGACCTAGAACCTCACAGGGATGGCATTTCCTGCTGTTGGGTGACCTAGAACCTCACAGGGATGGCATTTCCCACCTACTACACGACCCAGAACCTCACAGGGATGGCATCACCCGCTGTTGGGTGACCTAGAACCTCACAGAGGAGACGTTTCCCACTGTTGAGTGACCTAGAACCTCACAGGGATGGAATCATCTGCTGTTGGGTGACCTAGAACCTCACCAAGATGGCATTTCCCACCTACTACACGACCCAGAACCCCACAGGGATGGCATTTCCCACTGTTGGGTGACCCAGAACCTCACAGAGGAGACATTTCCTGCTGTTGGGTGACCCAGAACCTCACAGAGATGGCATTTCCCACTGTTGAGTTACCTAGAACCTCACAGGGATGGCATTTCGTGCTGTTGGGTGACCTAGAACCTCACAGGGATGGCATTTCCTGCTGTTGGGTGACCTAGAACCTCATGGAGATTGAATCACCCGCTGTTGGGTGACCTAGAACCTCACGGAGTTACAACTTCCTGCTGTTGGGTGACCTAGAACCTCACAGAGAAGACATTTCCTGCTGTTGGGTGACCCAGAACCTCACAGAGATGGAATCATCTGCTGTTGGGTGACCTAGAACCTCACCAAGATGGCATTTCCCACCTACTACACGACTCAGAACCTCACAGGGATGGCATTTCCCACTGTTGGGTGACCCAGAACCTCATAGAGATGGAATCACCCGCTGTTGGGTGACCTAGAACCTCACAGAGGAGACGTTTCCCACTGTTGAGTTACCTAGAACCTCACAGGGATGGAATCATCTGCTGTTGGGTGACCTAGAACCTCACCAAGATGGCATTTCCCACCTACTACACGACCCAGAACCCCACAGGGATGGCATTTCCCACTGTTGGGTGACCCAGAACCTCACAGAGGAGACATTTCCTGCTGTTGGGTGACCCAGAACCTCACAGAGATGGCATTTCCCACTGTTGAGTTACCTAGAACCTCACAGGGATGGCATTTCGTGCTGTTGGGTGACCTAGAACCTCACAGGGATGGCATTTCCTGCTGTTGGGTGACCTAGAACCTCACAGGGATGGCATTTCCCACCTACTACACGACCCAGAACCTCACAGGGATGGCATCACCCGCTGTTGGGTGACCTAGAACCTCACAGAGGAGACGTTTCCCACTGTTGGGTGACCTAGAACCTCCTAGAGATGGAATCATCTGCTGTTGGGTGACCCAGAACCTCACCAAGATGGCATTTCCCACCTACTACACGACCCAGAACCCCACAGAGATGGCATTTCCCACTGTTGGGTGACCAAGAACCTCATAGAGATGGAATCATCTGCTGTTGGGTGACCCAGAACCTCACCAAGATGGCATTTCCCACCTACTACACGACCCAGAACCCCACAGAGATGGCATTTCCCACTGTTGGGTGACCAAGAACCTCATAGAGATGGAATCACCCGCTGTTGGGTGACCTAGAACCTCACAGACGAGACGTTTTCCACTGTTGAGTGACCTAGAACCTCACAGGGATGGAATCATCTGCTGTTGGGTGACCTAGAACCTCACCAAGATGGCATTTCCCACCTACTACACGACTCAGAACCTCACAGGGATGGCATTTCCCACTGTTGGGTGACCTAGAACCTCACAGAGAAGACATTTCCTGCTGTTGGGTGACCCAGAACCTCACAGAGATGGCATTTCCCACTGTTGAGTTACCTAGAACCTCACAGGGATGGCATTTCGTGCTGTTGGGTGACCTAGAACCTCACAGGGATGGCATTTCCTGCTGTTGGGTGACCTAGAACCTCACAGGGATGGCATTTCCCACCTACTACACGACCCAGAACCTCACAGGGATGGCATCACCCGCTGTTGGGTGACCTAGAACCTCACAGAGGAGACGTTTCCCACTGTTGGGTGACCTAGAACCTCCTAGAGATGGAATCATCTGCTGTTGGGTGACCCAGAACCTCACCAAGATGGCATTTCCCACCTACTACACGACCCAGAACCCCACAGGGATGGCATTTCCCACTGTTGGGTGACCTAGAACCTCACAGAGGAGACATTTCCTGCTGTTGGGTGACCCAGAACCTCACCAAGATGGCATTTCCCACCTACTACACGACTCAGAACCTCACCGAGACGCCCCGGCCCACCTCCAGAAGCCCCCCAAAGACGCCCCCCAGACCCCCCCCCCCCCTCACCTCGTACTCGGCGAATTTGGTGGAATCCTCCAGCACCATGTCCTCCTTCTTGGGCGGGGTGTCGCGCGTGGCCAAGGCCAGGCAGCGCAGGGTGTCCCTCCCCGTCCCCCACTCCTTGATGACCGCCAGGATCTTCTCCTTCACCGCCGGCGTCAGCGGGACGCGCGTCGTCCCAACCCGCACGTAATTGCAGCGGTCGATGACGCCCTCGGGGGCACCCTGGGGTGGGGGTGAGGGGGTCAGTGGGACCCACTGGGGTCACTGGGAGCCAATGGGGTCAATGGGACTCAATGGGGTCAATGGGGTCATGGTAGGAGCCAGTGGGGTCAATGGGACCCAATGGGGTCAATGGGGTCATGGTAGGAGCCAGTGGGGTCAATGAGGTCATGGTAGGAGCCAATGGGGTCAATGGGACCCAAGGGGGTCAATGGGGTCATGGTAGGAGCCAATGGGGTCAATGGGAGCCAATGGGGTCAGTGGGGTCATGGTGGGAACCAATGGGGTCAATGGGACCCAATGGGGTCAATGGGGACATGGTAGGAGCCAATGGGGTCAATGGGACCCAATGGGGTCAATGGGGTCATGGTAGGAGCCAATGGGGTCAGTGGGACCAAATGGGGTCAATGGGGTCAAGGTGGGACCCAGTGGGGTCAATGGGACCCAACGGGGTCAATGGGGTCATGGTGGGACCCAATGGGGTCAATGGGACTCAATGGGGTCAATGGGGTCATGGTAGGAGCCAATGGGGTCAATGGGACCCAATGGGGTCAATGGGGTCATGGTAGGAGCCAATGGGGTCAGTGGGACCCAATGGGGTCAATGGGGTCATGGTAGGAGCCAGTGGGGTCAATGGGACCCAATGGGGTCAATGGGGTCATGGTAGGAGCCAATGGGGTCAATGGGGTCATGGTAGGAGCCAATGGGGTCAATGGGACTCAATGGGGTCAATGGGGTCATGGTAGGAGCCAATGGGGTCAATGGGACTCAATGGGGTCAGTGGGGTCATGGTGGGACCCAATGGGGTCAATGAGACCCAATGGGGTCAATGGGGACATGGTAGGAGCCAATGGGGTCAATGGGACCCAATGGGGTCAATGGGGTCATGGTAGGAGCCAATGGGGTCAATGGGGTCATGGTAGGAGCCAGTGGGGTCAATGGGACCCAATGGGGTCAATGGGGTCATGGTGGGACCCAATGGGGTCAATGGGACCCAATGGGGTCAATGGGGTCATGGTAGGAGCCAATGGGGTCAATGGGACCCAATGGGGTCAATGGGGTCATGGTAGGAGCCAATGGGGTCAGTGGGACCCAATGGGGTCAATGGGGTCATGGTAGGACCCAATGCGGTCAATGGGACCCAATGGGGTCAATGGGGTCATGGTAGGAGCCAATGGGGTCAATGGGACCCAATGGGGTCAGTGGGACCCAATGGGATCAGTGGGACCCAATGGGGTCAATGGGGTCATGGTAGGAGCCAATGGGGTCAATGGGACCCAATGGGGTCAGTGGGGTCATGGTGGGACCCAATGGGGTCAATGGGACCCAATGGGGTCAATGGGGTCATGGTAGGAGCCAATGGGGTCAGTGGGACCCAATGGGGTCAATGGGGCCATGGTGGGACCCAGTGGAGTCAGTGGGATCAAATGGGGTCAGTGGGACCCAATGGGGTCAATGGGGTCATGGTGGGACCCAATGGGGTCAGTGGGACCAAATGGGGTCAATGGGGTCATGGTGGGACCCAATGGGGTCAATGGGGTCAAGGTGGGACCCAATGGGGTCAGTGGGACCCAATGGGGTCAGTGGGACCAAATGGGGTCAGTGGGACCCAATGGGGTCAGTGGGACCAAATGGGGTCAGTGGGACCCAATGGGGTCAGTGGGACCAAATGGGGTCAGCGAGACCCAATGGGGTCAGTGGGACCAAATGGGGTCAGTGGGACCCAATGGAGTCAATGGGGTCGTGGTGGGACCCAGTCTATGGGGTGGGTCTATGGGGTGAATCTATGGGGTCAGACCTTAACGAACATCTTATTCCCCACGGCCGCCCGCGACGCTTTGGCAGGGGAGCAATAAACCGACATGGACTTGCGGTCCCGGGAAAACTCCAGCGTGAATTCCTTCTTCATCAGCTGCTTAATTACCTGCGGGTCACGGGGTCAGGGGTCAGGGGTCGGGGGTCAGGGGGTCAGGGGGGCCATGGGGGGGCTGGGAGGCAATGGAGTCAGTGGGGTCAGTGGAGTGGTAACGGGGTCAGTGGGGTCAAAGAGGGTCAGTAGGGGTCATTGGGGTCATTGGGGTCAGTGGGGTCAGTGGGGGTCAGTAGGGGTCATTGGGGTCAGGGGGGCCGTGGGGAGGTTGGGGGGGTAATGGGGTCAGTGGGGTCAGTGGGGTCAGTGGGGTCAGGGGGGCCCTGGGGAGGTTGGGGGGGTAATGGGGTCAGTGGGGTCAGTGGGGTCAGTGGGGTCAGGGGGGCCCTGGGGAGGTTGGGGGGGTAATGGGGTCAGTGGGGTCAGTGGGGTCAGTGGGGTCAGTGGAGTGGTAATGGGGTCAGTGGGGTCAATGGGGGTCAGTAGGGGTCATTGGGGTCATTGGGGTCAGTGGGGTCAGTGGGGGTCAGTAGGGGTCATTGGGGTCATTGGGGTCAGTGGGGTCAGTGGGGGTCAGTAGGGGTCATTGGGGTCATTGGGGTCAGTGGGGTCAGTAGGGGTCAGTAGGGGTCATTGGGGTCAGTGGGGTCAGGGGGGCCGTGGGGAGGTTGGGGGGGTAATGGGGTCAGTGGGGTCAGTGGGGTCAGTGGGGTCAGTGGAGTGGTAACGGGGTCAGTGGGGTCAATGGGGGTCAGTAGGGGTCATTGGGGTCATTGGGGTCAGTGGGGTCAGTGGGGGTCAGTAGGGGTCATTGGGGTCATTGGGGTCAGTGGGGTCAGTGGGGGTCAGTAGGGGTCATTGGGGTCAGGGGGGCCGTGGGGAGGTTGGGGGGGTAATGGGGTCAGTGGGGTCGATAGGGGTCAGTAGGGGTCATTGGGGTCATTGGGGTCAGTGGGGTCAGGGGGGCCATGGGGAGGTTGGGGAGTAATGGGGTCAGTGGGATCAGTGGGGTCAGTGGAGTGGTAACGGGGTCAGTGGGGTCAATGGGGGTCAGTAGAGGTCATTGGGGTCATTGGGGTCAATGGGGTCAGTGGGGTCAGTGGGGTCAGTGGAGTGGTAACGGGGTCAGTGGGATATATGGGGATATATGGGGCCATGTGGGGATATATGGGGTTATATGGGGCCATACGCGAATATGGGGGATATATTGGGATATATGGGGATATACGGGGATATATGGGGCCATATAGGGATATATGGGGATCTATGGGGCCATATGCAGATATGGGGGATATATGGGGATATGTGGGATATATGGGGCCATATGAGGATATATGGGGATATACGGGGATCTATGGGGCCATATGGGGCCATATGGGGCCATATGCAGATATGGGGGATATATGGGGATATGTGGGATCTATGGGGCCATATGAGGATATATGGGGATATACGGGGATCTATGGGGCCATATGGGGCCATATGCAGATATGGGGGATATATGGGGATATGTGGGATCTATGGGGCCATATCAGGATATATGGGGATATACGGGGATCTATGGGGCCATATGGGGCCATATGCAGATATGGGGGATATATGGGGATATGTGGGATCTATGGGGCCATATCAGGATATATGGGGATATACAGGGATCTATGGGGCCATATGGGGCCATATGCAGATATGGGGGATATATGGGGATATGTGGGATCTATGGGGCCATATGAGGATATATGGGGATATACGGGGATCTATGGGGCCAAATGGGGATCTATGGGGCCAGGTGGGGCACTGACGGAGTTGCAGGCGTTGGCGCGCTCCACTTTGGAGAGGCTGCGCACGTCGGTGTTGAAGACGTTCATCTTCTCCACCAGGCAGGTCAGCGCCGTCTCCGTGGCCTCCCCCACCTTCTCGTAAATCCCCTTGGCCTGCGGGGACAAAATGGGGTCAGTGGGGCACCGTGGGGCCAGTGGGGTCATGGTGGGACTCAATGGGGTCAATGGGACCCAATGGGGCCAGTGGGGCAGCATGGGGTCATGGTGGGACTCAATGGGGCCAGTGGGGCAGCGTGGGGTCATGGTGGGACTCAATGGGGTCAATGGGACTCAATGGGGCCAGTGGGGCACCGTGGGGTCATGGTGGGACTCAATGGGGTCAATGGGACTCAATGGGGCCAGTGGGGCACCGTGGGGTCATGGTGGGACTCAATGGGGTCAGTGGGGCACCGTGGGGTCAGTGGGGCAGCGTGGGGTCATGGTGGGACTCAATGGGGTCAATGGGACTCAATGGGGTCAGTGGGGCAGCGTGGGGTCATGGTGGGACTCAATGGGGTCAATGGGACTCAATGGGGCCAGTGGGGCACCGTGGGGTCATGGTGGGACTCAATGGGGTCAATGGGACCCAATGGGGCCAGTGGGGCAGCATGGGGTCATGGTGGGACTCAATGGGGCCAGTGGGGCAGCGTGGGGTCATGGTGGGACTCAATGGGGTCAATGGGACCCAATGGGGCCAGTGGGGCAGCGTGGGGTCATGGTGGGACTCAATGGGGTCAGTGGGGCACCGTGGGGTCAGTGGGGCACCGTGGGGTCATGGTGGGACTCAATGGGGTCAATGGGTCCCAATGGGGTCAATGGGGTCGTGGTCTGTCCCAATGGGGTCAATGGGTCCCAATAGGGTCAATGGGGTCATGATGTGTCCCAATGGGGTCAGTGGGGTGATGGTGGGTCCCAGTGGGGTCAATGGGACCCCATGGGGTCAATGGGGTCATGGTCTGTCCCAAAGGGGTCAATGGGCCCCAGTGGGGTCAATGGGGTCCTGGTGAATCCCAATGGGGTCAGTGGGTCCCAATGGGGTCAATGGGTCCCAGTGGGGTCAATGGGGTCATGGTCTGTCCCAACGGGGTCAATGGGGTCCCAATGGGGTCAATGGGTCCCAGTGGGGTCAATGGGGTCCTGGTGCATCCCAATGGGGTCAGTGGGTCCCAATGGGGTCAATGGGGTCAGTGGTCTGTCCCAGTGGGGTCAATGGGGTCCCAATGGGGTCAGTGGGTCCCAATGGGGGCGATGGGGTCGTGATCTGTCCTAACGGGGTCAATGGGTCCCAATGGGGTCAGTGGGTCCCAGTGGGGTCAATGGGGTCCTGGTGCATCCCAATAGGGTCAGTGGGTCCCAATGGGGTCAGTGGGTCCCAGTGGGGTCAATGGGGTCCTGGTGCATCCCAATGGGGTCAATGGGGCCCAATGGGGTCAATGGGGCCCAATGGGGTCAATGGGGTCCTGGTGCATCCCAATGGGGTCAGTGGGGTCCCAATGGGGTCAATGGGGTCGTGGTCTGTCCCAGTGGGGTCAATGGGGTCCCAATGGGGTCAGTGGGTCCCAATGGGGGCGATGGGGTCGTGATCTGTCCTAACGGGGTCAATGGGTCCCAATGGGGTCAGTGGGTCCCAATGGGGGCGATGGGGTCGTGATCTGTCCTAACGGGGTCAATGGGTCCCAATGGGGTCAGTGGGTCCCAGTGGGGTCAATGGGGTCCTGGTGCATCCCAATAGGGTCAGTGGGTCCCAGTGGGGTCAATGGGGTACTGGTGCATCCCAATGGGGTCAGTGGGTCCCAGTGGGGTCAATGGGGTCCTGGTGCATCCCAATGGGGTCAATGGGGCCCAATGGGGTCAATGGGGCCCAATGGGGTCAATGGGGTCCTGGTGCATCCCAATGGGGTCAATGGGGTCCCAATGGGGTCAATGGGGTCGTGGTCTGTCCCAGTGGGATCAATGGGGTCCCAGTAGGGTCAGTGGGTCCCAATGGGGTCAATGGGGTCGTGGTCTGTCCCAATGGGATCAATGGGGTCCCAATAGGGTCAATGGGTCCCAATGGGGTCAATGGGGTCCCAATGGGGTCAATGGGGTCGTGGTCTGTCCCAATGGGGTCAACGGGACCCAATGGGTTCCGTGGGACCCCATGGGGTCAGTGGGGCCCAATGGGGGGGTTTTGGGGTGGGATATGGGGGGAGATGTGGGGCTGACCTCGTTGTAATCCAAGGAGGAGTCGTTGCAGAGGGCGCAGATGGTGGCCAACTCCACCAGGCCGTCGTATTGGCCGGCCTTGATGTGCTTCTCGTTCTTCAGCCTGGGGGGCACAGGGGGGGTGGGGGGGGGAGACCCCCAAATTAGGGGTGGGGGGGTGGGGAGACCCCAAAATATGGGGTGAGAGGGGGGGGGGACTCAAATATGGGGTGAGAGGGGAGGAAACCCCGAAATAAGGGGGGATGGGGGAGGGAACCGAGAGTGGGGTGAAGGGGGGGGGGGAGACCCCAAAATATGGGGTGAAGTGGGGTAGGAGACCCCAAAATATGGGGTGAAGTGGGGTAGGAGACCCCAAAATATGGGGTGGGGGGTGGGGAGACCCCAAAATATGGGGTGAGGGGGGGGGGGGACTCAAATATGGGGTGAGAGTGGAGGAAACCCCGAAATAAGGGGGGAGGGAACCAAGTGTGGGGTGAAGGGGGGGGGGAGACCCCAAAATATGGGGTGAAGTGGGGTAGGAGACCCCAAAATATGGGGTGGGGGGTGGGGAGACCCCAAAATATGGGGTGAGAGGGGGGGACGACTCAAATATGGGGTGAGAGGGGAGGAAACCCCGTAATAAGGGGGGAGGGGGGAGGGAACCGAGAGTGGGGTGAAGGGGGGAGAGACCCTGAAATATGGGGTGGGGGGGGTGGGGAGACCCCAAAATATGGGGGGAGAGACCCCAAAATATGGGATGAAGTGGGGTAGGAGACCCCAAAATATGGGGTGGGGGGGGGGGGGGACTCAAATATGGGGTGAGAGGGGAGGAAACCCCGAAATAAGGGGGGAGGGAACCAAGTGTGGGGTGAAGGGGGGGGGGAGACCCCAAAATATGGGGTGAAGTGGGGTAGGAGACCCCAAAATATGGGGTGGGGGGGTGGGGAGACCCCAAAATATGGGGTGAGAGGGGGGGACGACTCAAATATGGGGTGAGAGGGGAGGAAACCCCGTAATAAGGGGGGAGGGGGGAGGGAACCAAGTGTGGGGTGAAGGGGGGGGAGACCCTGAAATATGGGGTGAAGTGGGGTAGGAGACCCCAAAATATTAATTAGTGGCGTATTGGGTCATTAGGAGTGGGAAATCCCACTAATTAGTGGCGTATTGGGTCATTAGGAGTGGGAAATCCCACTAATTAGTGGTGTATTGGGTCATTAGAGTGGGAAATCCCACTAATTAGTGGCGTATTGGGTCATTAGGAGTGGGAAATCCCACTAATTAGTGGTGTATTGGGTCATTAGAGTGGGAAATCCCACTAATTAGTGGCGTATTGGGTCATTAGGAGTGGGAAATCCCACTAATTAGTGGTGTATTGGGTCATTAGGAGTGGGAAATCCCACTAATTAGTGGTGTATTGGGTCATTAGAGTGGGAAATCCCACTAATTAGTGGCGTATTGGGTCATTAGGAGTGGGAAATCCCACTAATTAGTGGTGTATTGGGTCATTAGGAGTGGGAAATCCCACTAATTAGTGGTGTATTGGGTCATTAGGAGTGGGAAATCCCACTAATTAGTGGCGTATTGGGTCATTAGGAGTGGGAAATCCCACTAATTAGTGGCAAATTGGGTCATTAGGAGTGGGAAATCCCACTAATTAGTGGCGTATTGGGTCATTAGGAGTGGGAAATCCCACTAATTAGTGGCGTATTGGGTCATTAGGAGTGGGAAATCCCACTAATTAGTGGCGTATTGGGTCATTAGAGTGGGAAATCCCACTAATTAGTGGCGTATTGGGTCATTAGGAGTGGGAAAGCTCGCTAATTAGTGGCGTATCGGGTCATTAGGAGTGGGAAAGCTCGCTAATTAGTGGCGTATTGGGCCAATAGGATGGGAAAGCTCGCTAATTAGCGGCACAATGGGCCAACGGGAGAGGAATCTCCCACTAATGAGCGGCACAGGCAGTAACGAGGGTGGTAATTATGCTAATTAGCACTCACACGTCGCCCTCGGGGGCGTAGGTGGAGCCGGTGATGGAAAACTCGTTAAGCGTGCAGACGTCGCCCTCCACTTTGTCCACGATGAACATCTGGGGGTCAAAGGTCACGGGGTCGAAGGTCACGGGGTCAAAGGTCAGCCGTGGGGTCGGGGGGGTCGGGGGCAGGGGTCAGATGTGGGGTCAGGGGTCCATCAAGGGGTCAGGGGTTGGGGTCAGCCTTGGGGGTCAGAGGTCAGGGGTCAACCTTGGGGTCAGTGGTGGGGTCAAGGGTCAGGGGTCAGACATGGGGTTAAAGGTCAGCCGTGAGGTCAGGGGTCGGGGTCAGGGGTCAGATGTGGGGTCAGCCTTGGGGTCAGAGGTCAGAGATCAAGGGGTCAACCAGGGGGTCTGGGGTTGGGGTCAGTCTATGGAGTCCCTATGGGGTCCCTATGGGGTCTCTATGGAGTCCCTATGGGGTCTCTATGGGGTCTTTATGGGGTCGCTATGGGGTCCCTATGGGGTCTCATTGGGGTCCCTATGGGGTCTCTATGGGGTCTCTATGGGGTCCCTATGGGGTCTCTATGGGGTCTCTATGGGGTCCCTATGGGGTCCCTATGGGGTCTCTATGGGGTCTCTATGGGGTCCCTATGGGGTCTCATTGGGGTCTCTATGGGGTCTCTATGGGGTCTCTATGGGGTCTCTATGGGGTCCCTATGGGGTCTCTATGGGGTCTCTATGGGGTCCCTATGGGGTCTCTATGGGGTCTCTATGGGATCTCTATGGGGTCTCTATGGGGTCCCTATGGGGCCTCTATGAGGTCTCTATGGGGTCCCTATGGGGTCTCTATGGGGTCTCTATGGGGTCCCTATGGGGTCTCTATGGGGTCTCTATGGGACACCTATGGGGTCTGAATGAGGTCTCTATGGGGTCCCTATGGGATCTCTATGGGACACCTATGGGGTCTGTATGGGACACCTATGGGACACCTATGGGGTCTTTGTGGGGTCTTTATGGGACACCTATAGGACACCTATGGGACCTGAATGGGGTCTCTATGGGACACCTATGGGACACCTATGGGGTCTCTATGGGACACCTATGGGACACCTATGGGGTCTCTATGGGGTCTCTATGGGACACGTATGGGGTGACGGCTGGAATCTCTATGGCACACTTATGGGACACCTATGGGGTCACTATTGGGTCTCTATGGAGTCCCTATGGGGTCTCTATGGGACACCTATGGGGTTTGTATGGGGTCTCTATGGGACACTTATGGGACACCTATGGGACACGTATGGGGTCTGAATGAGGTCTCTATGGGGTCTCTATGGGACACCTATGGGACCTGAATGGAGTCTGTATGGGGTCTCTATGGGACATTATGGGACATCTATGGGACAACCTATGGGACCTGAATGGGGTCTCTATGGGACACCTATGGGGTCACTACTGAGTCTCTATGGGGTCTCTATGGGGTCTCTATGGGTCTCTATGGGTCTTTATGGGATCTTTATGGGGTCTCTATGGGACACCTATGGGGTCTGTATGGGGTCTCTATGGGATCTCTATGGGGTCTCTATGGGGTCTTTATGGGGTCTCTATGGGGTCTGAATGGGGTCTCTATGGGACACTTATGGGACACCTATGGGGTCTGTATGGAGTCTGTATGGGGTCTCTATGGGACATTATGGGACATCTATGGGACAACCTATGGGTCCTGAATGGGGTCTCTATGGGACACTTATGGGGTCACTATTGGGTCTCTATGGGGTCTCTATGGGACACTTATGGGACACCTATGGGGTCTCTATGGGACACCTATGGGGTCACTATTGACTCTCTATGGAGTCCCTATGGGATCTCTATGGGACACCTATGGGGTCTCTATGGGACACCTATGGGACACCTATGGGACCCGAATGGGGTCCCTATGGGGTGACGGCGGGTCTCTATGGGGCCGACCTTGCAGACGGACATCTGGTTGGTGGTGAGGGTGCCGGTTTTGTCGGAGCAGATGACGGAGGTGCAGCCCAGGGTCTCCACGGAGGGGAGGCTGCGCACGATGGCGTTCTTCTTCGCCATCCGCCTCGTCCCCAGAGCCAGGCAGGTGGTGATGACGGCGGGCAGCCCTGCGGGAACCCCGTCAGACCCCATGGGGACCCATAGGAACCCATGGGAACCCATAGATCCCCATAGGAAGCCATAGATCCCCATAGGAACCCATAGGAGCCATGGCAACCCATAGATCCCCATAGGAACCCATAGGACCCCATAGGAACCCATAGGACCCATGGCAACCCATAGATCCCGATAGGAACCCATAGGACCCCATAGGAACCCATAGGACCCATGGGAACCCATAGATCCCCACAGGAACCCATAGGAGCCCATAGGAACCCATAGGACCCCACAGGAACCCATAGGAGCCATGGCAACCCATAGATCCCCACAGGAACCCATAGGAGCCCATAGGAACCCATAGATCCCCACAGGAACCCATAGGAGCCCATAGGACCCATGGGAACCCATAGATCCCCATAGGAACCCATAGGAGCTCATAGGAACCCATAGGAACCCATAGGACCCATGGCAGCCCATAGATCCCCATAGGAACCCATAGATCCCCACAGGAACCCATAGGAGCCCATAGGACCCATGGGAACCCATAGATCTCCATAGGAACCCATAGGACCCATAGGAACCCATAGGAACCCATAGGACCCATGGGAACCCATAGATCCCCATAGGAACCCATAGGAACCCATAGGACCCCACAGGAACCCATAGGACCCATGGGAACCCATAGATCCCCATAGGAACCCATAGGAACCCATAGGACCCCACAGGAACCCATAGGACCCATGGGAACCCATAGATCCCCATAGGAACCCATAGGAGCCCATAGGAACCCATAGGACCCCACGGGAACCCATAGGACCCCCTAAGACCCCTCTAAGACCCCAAAAGACCCCATAAGACCAACCCACGACCCCATAGAACCCCATAAGCCCCCATAAAAGCCCCCCATAGCACCCCCCCCCCCCCCTCACCCCCCTTCCTGACCTTCTGGGATGGCGGCGACGGCGAGGGCGACGGCGATCTTGAAGTAATAAATGGCGCCGCGGATCCAGGAGCCGCCGTGGACGGGGTCGTTAAAATGGCCGATGTTAATGAGCCAAACGGCCACGCAAATGAGGGAGATGACTTTGGAGAGCTGCTCCCCGAACTCGTCCAGCTTCTGCTGCAGGGGGGTTTTGTCCTGCTCCGTCGCCGCCATCTCGTCGCGGATCTTCCCGATCTCCGTGTTCACCCCCGTGGCCACCACGATGCCCACGGCCTTTCCGGCCCCGATGTTGGTGCCCTGCGTTGGGGGGGGGGGGCCCGAAATTAGGGGGGGGGTCTCAAAATTAGGGGGGGGGTCTCGGAATTAGAGGCAGGTCTCGAGATTGAGGGGGGTTGGGGGTCTCTGGGTTCAGCCCTGTGGGCACCACGATGCCCACGGCTTTGAATGGCCTGATGTTGGTGCCCTGCGTTGGGGGGGGGGGGGGCCGAAATTAGGGGAGGGGTCCTGAAGTTGGAGGGGGTCTCTCAAAGTGAGGGGGGGGGTCTCGAGATTGAGGGTGGTTGGGTTCATGCTGTGGGTTCAGCGCTGTGGTCACCACGATGCCCACAGCTTTGTCGGCCCCGATGTTGGTGCCCTGCGTTGGGGGGGGGGGTCCCAAAAATAGGGGGGGGTCCCCAAAATTAAGGGGGGGGGTCTCATAATTAGGGGAGGGGGTCTCAAAGTTGGAGGGGGTCTCTGAAAGTGAGGGGGGCGTCTCGAGATTGAGGGGGGTTGGGGGTCTCTGGGTTCATCCCTGTGGTCACCACGATGCCCACGGCCTTTCCGGCCCCGATGTTGGTGCCCTGCGTTGGGGGGGGGGCCCGAAATTAGGGGGGGGTCTCAAAATTAGGGGGGGGGGTCTCGGAATTAGAGGCAGGTCTCGAGATTGAGGGGGGGTTGGGGGTCTCTGGGTTCAGCCCTGTGGGCACCACGATGCCCACGGCTTTGAATGCCCTGATGTTGGTGCCCTGCGTTGGGGGGGGGGGGGCCGAAATTAGGGGGGGGGTCCCAAAATAAGGGAGGGGGTCCTGAAGTTGGAGGGGGGGGTCTCGGAATTAGAGGCAGGTCTTGAGATTGAGGGGGGTTGGGGGTCTCTGGGTTCATCCCTGTGGCCACCACGATGCCCACAGCTTTGAATGCCCTGCGTTGGGGGGGGGGGATCCCAAAAGTAGGAGGGGTCTCATAATTAGGGGGGGGATCCCAAAATTAAGGGGGGGGTCCTGAAGTTGGAGGGGGGATCGAAGTGAGAGGGGGGTTGGGGGTCTCTGGGTTCAGCCCTGTGGTCACCACGATGCCCACGGCCTTTCCGGCCCCGATGTTGGTGCCCTGCGTTGGGGGGGGGGCCCGAAATTAGGGGGGGGGTCCCAAAATTAGGGGGGGGGGTCTCGGAATTAGAGGCAGGTCTCGAGATTGAGGGGGGTTGGGGGTCTCTGGGTTCAGCCCTGTGGGCACCACGATGCCCACGGCTTTGAATGCCCTGATGTTGGTGCCCTGCGTTGGGGGGGGGGGGGGCCGAAATTAGGGGGGGGTCCCAAAATAAGGGAGGGGGTCCTGAAGTTGGAGGGGGGGGTCTCGGAATTAGAGGCAGGTCTTGAGATTGAGGGGGGTTGGGGGTCTCTGGGTTCATCCCTGTGGCCACCACGATGCCCACAGCTTTGAATGCCCTGCGTTGGGGGGGGGGATCCCAAAAGTAGGAGGGGTCTCATAATTAGGGGGGGGATCCCAAAATTAAGGGGGGGGTCCCAAAATTAAGGGGGGGGGTCCTGAAGTTGGAGGGGGGATCGAAGTGAGAGGGGGGTTGGGGGTCTCTGGGTTCAGCCCTGTGGTCACCACGATGCCCACGGCCTTTCCTGCCCCGATGTTGGTGCCCTGCGTTGGGGGGGGGGCCCGAAATTAGGGGGGGGGTCTCAAAATTAGGGGGGGGGTCTCGGAATTAGAGGCAGGTCTCGAGATTGAGGGGGGTTGGGGGTCTCTGGGTTCAGCCCTGTGGGCACCACGATGCCCACGGCTTTGAATGCCCTGATGTTGGTGCCCTGCGTTGGGGGGGGGGGGGCCGAAATTAGGGGGGGGTCCCAAAATAAGGGAGGGGGTCCTGAAGTTGGAGGGGGGGGTCTCGGAATTAGAGGCAGGTCTCAAGATTGAGGGGGGTTGGGGGTCCCTGGGTTCATCCCTGTGGCCACCACGATGCCCACAGCTTTGAATGCCCTGCGTTGGGGGGGGGGGATCCCAAAAGTAGGAGGGGTCTCATAATTAGGGGGGGGATCCCAAAATTAAGGGGGGGGTCCTGAAGTTGGAGGGGGGATCGAAGTGAGAGGGGGGTTGGGGGTCTCTGGGTTCAGCCCTGTGGTCACCACGATGCCCACGGCCTTTCCGGCCCCGATGTTGGTGCCCTGCGTTGGGGGAGGGGGCCCGAAATTAGGGGGGGGGTCCCAAAATTAGGGGGGGGGGGTCTCGGAATTAGAGGCAGGTCTCGAGATTGAGGGGGGTTGGGGGTCTCTGGGTTCAGCCCTGTGGGCACCACGATGCCCACGGCTTTGAATGCCCTGATGTTGGTGCCCTGCGTTGGGGGGGGGGGGGCCGAAATTAGGGGGGGGTCCCAAAATAAGGGAGGGGGTCCTGAAGTTGGAGGGGGGGGTCTCGGAATTAGAGGCAGGTCTTGAGATTGAGGGGGGTTGGGGGTCTCTGGGTTCATCCCTGTGGCCACCACGATGCCCACAGCTTTGAATGCCCTGCGTTGGGGGGGGGGGATCCCAAAAGTAGGAGGGGTCTCATAATTAGGGGGGGGATCCCAAAATTAAGGGGGGGGTCCCAAAATTAAGGGGGGGGTCCTGAAGTTGGAGGGGGGATCGAAGTGAGAGGGGGGTTGGGGGTCTCTGGGTTCAGCCCTGTGGTCACCACGATGCCCACGGCCTTTCCGGCCCCGATGTTGGTGCCCTGCGTTGGGGGGGGGGGCCCGAAATTAGGGGGGGGGTCCCAAAATTAGGGGGGGGGTCTCGGAATTAGAGGCAGGTCTCGAGATTGAGGGGGGTTGGGGGTCTCTGGGTTCAGCCCTGTGGGCACCACGATGCCCACGGCTTTGAATGCCCTGATGTTGGTGCCCTGCGTTGGGGGGGGGGGGGCCGAAATTAGGGGGGGGTCCCAAAATAAGGGAGGGGGTCCTGAAGTTGGAGGGGGGGGTCTCGGAATTAGAGGCAGGTCTTGAGATTGAGGGGGGTTGGGGGTCTCTGGGTTCATCCCTGTGGCCACCACGATGCCCACAGCTTTGAATGCCCTGCGTTGGGGGGGGGGATCCCAAAAGTAGGAGGGGTCTCATAATTAGGGGGGGGATCCCAAAATTAAGGGGGGGGTCCCAAAATTAAGGGGGGGGTCCTGAAGTTGGAGGGGGGATCGAAGTGAGAGGGGGGTTGGGGGTCTCTGGGTTCAGCCCTGTGGTCACCACGATGCCCACGGCCTTTCCGGCCCCGATGTTGGTGCCCTGCGTTGGGGGGGGGGGCCCGAAATTAGGGGGGGGGTCTCAAAATTAGGGGGGGGGGTCTCGGAATTAGAGGCAGGTCTCGAGATTGAGGGGGGTTGGGGGTCTCTGGGTTCAGCCCTGTGGGCACCACGATGCCCACGGCTTTGAATGCCCTGATGTTGGTGCCCTGCGTTGGGGGGGGGGCCCGAAATTAGGGGGGGGGTCCCAAAATTAGGGGGGGGTGTGTGAAAGTTAGAGGGGGGTCCTGAAGTTGGACGGGGGATCAAAGTGAGAGGGGGGTTGGGGGTCTCTGGGTTCAGCCCTGTGGTCACCACGATGCCCACGGCCTTTCCTGCCCCGATGTTGGTGCCCTGCGTTGGGGGGGGGGGGGCCGAAATTAGGGGGGGGGTCTCAGAATTAGGGAGGGGTCTCATAATTAGAGGGGGGGTCCTGAAGTTGGAGGGGGGATCAAAGTGAGAGGGGGGTTGGGGGTCTCTGGGTTCAGCCCTGTGGTCACCACGATGCCCACGGCTTTGAATGTCCCGATGTTGGTGCCCTGCGTTGGGGGGGGGGGTCCCAAAATTAAGGGGGGGGTTCCGAAGTTGGAGGGGGTCTCAAAATTAGGGGGGGGGTCCTGAAGTTGGAGGGGGTCTCAAGGTTAAAGGGGGGTTGAGTTCACCCCCGTGGCCACCACGATGCCCACGGCCTTTCCGGCCCCGATGTTGGTGCCCTGCGTTGGGGGGGGGGCCCGAAATTAGGGGGGGGGTCTCAAAATTAGGGGGGGGGGTCTCGGAATTAGAGGCAGGTCTCGAGATTGAGGGGGGTTGGGGGTCTCTGGGTTCAGCCCTGTGGGCACCACGATGCCCACGGCTTTGAATGCCCTGATGTTGGTGCCCTGCGTTGGGGGGGGGCCCGAAATTAAGGGGGGGGTCCCAAAATTAGGGGGGGGTGTGTGAAAGTTAGAGGGGGGTCCTGAAGTTGGACGGGGGATCAAAGTGAGAGGGGGGTTGGGGGTCTCTGGGTTCATCCCCGTGGTCACCACGATGCCCACGGCTTTGAATGCCCCGATGTTGGTGCCCTGCGTTGGGGGGGGGGGGCCGAAATTAGGGGGGGGGTCCCAAAATTAAGGGGGGGGTTCCAAAGTTGGAGGGGGTCTCAAAATTAGGGGGGGGGTCCTGAAGTTGGAGGGAGGTTGGGTTCATGCTGTGGGTTCATCACTGTGGCCACCATGATGCCCACGGCTTTGAATGCCCCGATGTTGGTGCCCTGCATTGGGGGGGGGCCCGAAATTAGGGGGGGGTCTCAGAATTAGAGGGGATCAACCTGGGGACACTTTGGGGGCACATTGGGGTCACCATGTGGACACTTTGGGGACACTTTGGGGTCACATTGGGGTCACATTAGGGACACTTTGGGGTCAAATTAGGGACACTTTGGGGTCACATTGGGGTCACCATGTGGACACTTTGGGGACACTTTGGGGACACATTGGGGTCACCATGGGGACACTTTGGGGACACTTTGGGGACACATTGGGGACACTTTGAGGTCACATTGGAGTCACATTGGGGTCACCATGGAGACACACTGGGGACACTTTGGGGTCACCATGGGGACACTTTGGGGGCACATTGGGGTCACATTAGGGACACACTGGGGACACTTTGGGGTCACCATGGGGACACTTTGGGACACATTGGGGTCACATTAGGGACACTGGGGTCACATTGGG